ATATAATACAGAAATACATTCCTTTTGTAAATATGTGCTGCCCACCTTACAGAAAGAGCTGAAGTCTTTTCATCTACCAACCCTAATCAAGGATTCTCCCCCAAAGTTAACCACTGTTAACAGTTTTTGTATGTTCTTCCAGAAGGACATAGTATGTTCACATAAAAAAGTTATATAGTATTGTTTTGAGTGCATGTATGTATGTGGGGATGTTATGTATAAATGCATACTCCACTGTTTACATGTGGTATTTTGTGTTGTGTTTTTGTTTGTTTGTTTGTTTTTTGCATTTGCCATTTTCATATGCTATAGTTTTAAATTGTGCTCTGTGGAATTGTGAGGGCTGAAAGCATGTGTGTTTCTAGATGCTTTATACCACTTCCTCTGGAGCAGCTCTGCTTTAGATTTTTTACATATGGGGCCTGTGGGTAAAATTTTATTTAAAGAACAGAATTGCTTACAAAGAAAAGCTTGCAAAGTATTTTATGATACATTGTCTCTATTGCCTTATAAAAAGAAAGAAAAACAGAAAAATCAAAGTGCAGGTGGTAATGTGGTGATGCATCCATCTCATGCACTTAAATTAAGCTGAGAGGAAGTTGGAAATCACCAGGTGTGGCCACTGAGGTGAACATTTAGCTTCAACCGGATGCTTGTTGGACTTCAGTCAACTGTGTTTTTGATTGCAAGGGGAAAAAAAATGAAAGAACAAGTAGAAAATGCAGATTGTTCTTCAGAGGTGTAAGCCCATGGTGTGTCTTACTCTAGGTATGTTCTGGATGATCAGTATACAAGTTCTTCTGGTGCTAAGTTTCCTGTGAAGTGGTGTCCACCTGAAGTGTTTAATTACAGCCGTTTCAGCAGCAAATCAGATGTCTGGTCATTTGGTAAGATCCATGGTCCATGTTTCCTCATGTCCGTCCACCCTGAGGAGGAAGTGGATACATCCATTTGGTAATCCTTATTCTTTTCCAGGTGTTTTAATGTGGGAAGTATTCACAGAAGGCAGAATGCCCTTTGAAAAATATACCAATTATGAAGTGGTAACCATGGTTACTCGAGGCCACCGACTCTACCAGCCGAAGTTGGCATCCAACTATGTATATGAAGTGATGCTGAGATGTTGGCAGGAGGTATAGATTTTTTGTGGGCTTTCTTTTTGAATCTTTTAGGGATTGGGCTTGGTAAATAGACAACATGCAGTCTTTATAGCCTAGTGAGGTGGTGCATGCTTTATAGTGATTTCAAGCTCTAGGTAGGAAGCCAACCCTCTCAACTCAAATTCTGAATAATGGGAAGAAGAATGTAAAGATGTGGAAAATGCTAAGAACTACCTCGATACATTCAGGCTGCTTCCTCACTTGCAAGTGGGACTCCTTCCATAGTTGCCTGAGCTAGGGACTTGGGGAATACACCTGGAGAAGTAGCTCTTTTTTCACTGGGTCACTTGTAGAGTTGAAATATATATATTTTTTTTTACCAGAGTTGGTTCCTTTCTCTAAACCTCAACTTTCCGAGGTCTTTGGAAGTATTGAAATGTCACCTCCTAAAAGAGGTTAGATACCAAATGACTTCTGAAAGACAGTAACATTAGCTCACATGTATTATGTACCAAGCACTATACTTAGTGTTTTGGATTTAGTTCTCAAAACAACACTTTGAGGTGGAGACACTTTGTGCCACTCTGTAGATGAGAAGATTAAGGGTCATGAGGTTGCTGCTTGCCTGGGGTCACTTAACTACAGAGCAGTATAGGCCTGTCTGACTCCAAAGTCCAGGGCCTCAACCACTGGCTGTGCTGCCTCCCCAAGAGTTGATTGGGATGGGCATAGACATTCTGGGCAGGAAGTGGTGCTAAAGAGAGAGAGAACAGCTTGAGCAAAGGTAAGGAGGTGGTTATAAACACGATGTTTGTGCACGACAGTGGAGGTAGTGGCCCTATTTAACAGACAGCCCATGTGAGGGATTTTGTGGGGAATAAAATTGGGTGACAAGAGGGTGGGGGAGTGGCAGATTATAGAGGGTCCTATAAATTTGCAGGACTTGATTTCACAGGCATGTCTCTTGAAGAGAGACATGAAAGCAGTGTCTTAGAAAGGTTAGCCTAACAGCAGTACATGCAGGGTAGATTAGGGTAGAGACAAGACCCCTCTGGAGATGCCTGTATGTCCCAGTCCCAAAGCAGTGAAGCCTCTCTGTAATATGCTATGTTTAGGAGTTGGAGCAGTGAGAGGTTTTTTGGAATGGATTCTGGAACCTACAGCTTCTCTTTGACTTTTAATTGTAGAAACCAGAGGGAAGGCCTTCTTTTGAAGATCTGCTGCGCACAATAGATGAACTAGTTGAATGTGAAGAAACTTTTGGAAGATAAGTGACGTAACCAGTGGCTCCCAGATTCCAAAGTGCAAGGAAGGATGGGCACTTTGTGGCTTTTAATTTATTGAGCACTTGGACATGTAGATGGTTTTACTTGTAAAGTGGAAACACATAAAGAATTTGCTTCTAGACGGAATCTCCCAGAGTGTTTCCACTTAGAAACACTCTGTTGCCTTAGAAATGGTGATTAAAATCACTCATTTCTATTCATTCCTCAGGCACTTGAGTGACAGTTGTTTACCAGGCACTGTGTATAGCCCCAGGGTTTGGCCATTTAGGGGTGCACACATGGGACCATGTTAGCTGATGGCAGTTGAAGGCCAGGGTATTTGGGAAGGGGAAGGGTATTAGAGTCATGACCCAGCAACCCTTCTTTTTCCCTTTGACTTCTACAGAAATCTGGGCCTGAGACATTGTCTGCAATTGGGTTCTAGATAAATCAGAAACCCACCTAAATAAGTACCCATCTTTTGTTTTGAAAACATCTCAGTTTTCAAGACTGCTCTTAGTATTACATGAACAATATTTGTATGCTGTATATATTGTAAATATATGTAATATATAAAGTTATATATTTATAAGAAACACAAGTTGTCTTTTAATTGAAACTTTTAATCCTGTAGTATATGAGCTCACCTTCTTAGGACTAGAGACTGTGCCTAACAGCTGTTAATTCATTTCCCCCTGAACATCAAATATACCTGAAGAGAAGAAAGTCTAGACTCTTCTATGAGTAACACCCCCTCCTCACTCAGGTAAATGTGTCTGGGGATGCCTGTCCAGCTTAACCACGTGCATTTGGCCTATGTAATCCTGCCCATGGTGGCCGCAGCTAATCAGAATCAGATGGAAAATTAAACTAGGTAATCTACTTCTAAGCCTTAAGAATATTCCCTGGGGCACAGGCACTATAATTGGAAGTGCTGGGCTCTAGGGCAGAAGGATCAGGTGACGTTCACAGCAAAGTTTGCCCCCACCTCACGCAGGACCCAGAAGCACCCCAAGTTGTGGTGGAGGATCCAGGAAGCTACCAAGAGAAACAGCGAGCATGGTGTTCTGAGCTGGCTCCCGCACGTTTTTCAGGAGGCCTGGTTGGACTTGGGTTCCTGGATGGGTAGGACTGTTGTACCTCACAGGAGACTCTGCTGTCAAGACTCTGTGTGTGGATTTCTCACCCTTAGAAGCTCTACTAAGACATCAATGGAGTTAGGGCCTGCCTTTTTTCCTCGTGAGCACCAAGGAAAAGAAATTATCTTGGTTACGTGAGTGCCAGCGAAAAGAAACTATATCAGTCACCCAGAGACTGTTTATTGCCCAACACGTTATTCTTGCTATTGGTGGGGTAACTAGCTGAGGAAGACACAGTGCCTTCCCTTCAGGAGTTCCGTCTCCTCTGGAGGCTGCGATGGTCTGCTCTGGAGCATTGGGTGAACACACAGACTGGCTGCTCTGGGCAGCACCTTCACTTTGACCCTGGAGAACCATTTCATTTCATCCTGGCCAGTCTAGAGTCTGTGCAGCAGGCAGTCCATCCACTGAAGGCTGTGTTTATTCTTTTCCTGTGCCCCTTGTAATGGAAGAAAGTAAACTGCTTATTCTGAGCCTTATCACAACCTGCCACATTCCTTCTCGTCTACCTGTTTAACCATACCCCCATGACAAAAACATGCACAACTTTTTTTTTAAGTTCCAGGGTACATGTGTAGGATGTGCAGGTTTGTTACATAGGTAAACGTGTGCCATGGTGGTTTGCTGCACCTATCAACTCATCACCTAGGTATGCATTAGTTATTTTTCCTGATATTAGCCTGATATATTTCCTGATATTAGCCTGGCATGCATTAGCTATTTTTCCTGATGCTGTCCCCTCATCTGCCCTCCCCCAAGAGGGCCCAGTGTGTGTTGTTCCCCTCCCTGTGTCCATGTGTTCTCATGGTTCAGCTCCCACTTATAAGTGAGAACATGTGGTGTTTGGTTTTCTGTTCCTGCATTACTTTGCTGAAGATAAAGGCTTCCAGCTCCATCCATGTCCCTGCAAAGGACATGATTTCATTCTGTATGGCTGCATAGTATTCCATGGTGCATATGTACCACATTTTCTTTATCCAGCCTATCACTGATGGGCATTTTGGTTGCTAACCATGCACAACTTTTAACTGACTTGTAGCTTATTCAAGGAGTCGGTCCTGGCACACTCTACCTTACTGTCACTATCAGCCTTTTCTCCTTCCTTCCTGACCTTCCCTCCTTCCCTCCTCCCATCCCATACTTCCTTTTTCACCTTGAGGAGCTATGGGAAGTACTAGGTGGTATGAAAGAGAGTGAGGAGAAGATAAGAGTCCCTACCCTAATGGTCAATGTATGCTTTTTATGGGAAAACAAGATAGATGGTACCTGGCAACATTTGTGAATATTTCCTTCAAAAATCTTTAAATATTTTTCACTAAGACTTAAAAAAAAAAAAAGCTTTTATACGAAAGCATAACTAAGGCAGAAGGGGAAGTAAAAATAACAGTCATAACCCAGAATGCTAAGGAGACCCTAATCTAAACAGGAGATTGGAAGGGCAATGGGAATATGCTGTGTCTTCATTAAAGTTGTTCTGTTGCTCTCTGGGCTCCGACCTGGTTCGTGGCGAGATGGCCAAATGTACTAAGAAAGTTGGATCGTCAGTAAATACGGGACCCGCTATGGGGCCTCCCTCCGGAAAATGGTGAAGAAAATTGAAATCAGCCAGCACGCCAAGTACACTTGCTCTTTCTGTGGCAAAACCAAGATGAAGAGACGAGCTGTGGGGATCTGGCACTGTGGTTCCTGCATGAAGACAGTGGCTGGCAGTGCCTGGACATACAATACCACTTCCGCTGTCATGGTAAAGTCCGCCATCAGAAGACTGAAGGAGTTGAAAGACCAGTAGACGCTCTTCTACTCTTTGAGACATCACTGGCCTATAATAAATGGGTTAATTTATGTAAAAAAAAAAAAAAAAGTTGTTCTGTTAATTAGTTAACACAGAGTTATGCTTTCCAGTGGGATGAAATGAAACTCCCAAGTGTGTTTTGTATTGTTGGTGTTTTTATATTTCTCAGTCATCCCCCAATCACATTTTAGGGTTATTACTAGATTGACTTCCCCCAAATAAAGTGTCTGCTGAGTGGGAGGATGGAACATTCTAAACTCAATATTCCAGAGCCTAGAATCTAGTTGTTTCTGCCACTCACAGTGTGGCCTTGGGCAAGTCCCTTATTCTGTCTGTGCCTCCGTTTCCTTCCCAGTCCAGAGAGGGCAGTTTAACTTGATGATTTTAAAGGTGCCTTTTACCAAAATTTTGTGATTTCTTGAAAATGATGTTTGCGAGTCACCCACACCTTTGGGGATGAGAGACTAATAGCAGACACCCTCAGAGATTGGGATGGAGATTACTGAGCTTTCTTATATAGGCCATTGGTTGTCATTTATACTCTTCTGAGGTTTTCAGAACAGGAAAATAGGTGGGGTTAACTCTGCCCGTGAGAAACATCTTGAGCGAACTATGATTTCAGTTGAAAGATGTGTTTTTGTGAGTGGAGCACCGCAGAAGAACTGAAGACTGTTGTGTGCTCCCTGCAGAAGGGGCTGCCATGATCCTTTCCTCCTGTGAGTAAGATGAGCTTTCTCAATTTATTTTCGGGGCTTGTTCTGGACCTATTCTTGAACAGCAGAGGATGTTTTCTTTTCTAAGGCACAGAGCTTGGGAACATTAAAAGATAATTTCCTCAGATGTTGTGACAGAGTTTTGTTTCTTATTTAAAGAACCACGGTGGTGATGTAATTCTAATAAAGGTTCAGCATTGAGAACATAAATGAAAGAAAAACAAAAGAATGTCCAGGAATCTACATATGTGTGTGTAGAAATGCAATCAGTATGAAGTACCTGTTTTTAGAATGAGACTGTAATGAACTTTGGGCTGAAGGCCAGGAGACCAAATTCTAGTTCTGGATTTGCTCCAGCAGTGGTGGATCACAGCTGGCAACTTTATATATATATAAATACACACAGAGACACAAATAAATATATTTAAAGCAAAAGGAAGAGAGGTCAAAACACAACTGTGTTTATACTCTGAAATTATCTGCTTTATCATGTAAACATATAGACTTACCCTTATTTTCACAGGAGTATTTATTCACAATTTTGTGTAGATATCCGTTATTGAGGACCTTTCCCAGGCAATTGAAATTTAGGCAAAACTGATTCTTACCTGCAGTCAGAGCCTGAGTAAAGGCAAAAATAAGAGTCAAAGTCATGAGTCTCCACATGGTTAAGAGTGTGAACATGGTCGAGTGTGAACACTGGCTTAAATGTCTCCCTCATATATAATATTACATATGAAGATGTTATTTTAATATTTTTATAGAATACAAGACCACCGTTAAAAATAAGTGCTAGTTTTAGGAGAACAGAGAAAGATTCCCTAGATGCTGTTATCTGTGAAGATCCTTGGTTTGAAAGAGCCGTGGGGATGCTTATAAATCCAAAGAAATTAGAATAAAAAGAAAAACAAGCAGAATAGTCTTCTAAATAAGAAGGCAGCCATCATATCAGAATTGCAATATCTTTGTTTCTTTATAAAGGTATTTATTGAGCACCTACCATGGGCCATGGTCTATACCAGTTCCTTTATATTCATTATCTGAAAGCTTCACTACAAACTGGCAAGGTCAAAATTGTTATTCTTACGTAGCCAATAAGAAAATAGTGCCTTTGAAAGTTTAAATCTCACCAAAAGCTCACATGGTTGTCACACTCAGGATTTAAGCATGAGACTTTTTTTTTTTCTGAGACAGTCTTGCTCTGTCACCCAGGCTGGAGTGCAATGGCGTGATCTCAGCTCACTGTAAGTTCCACCTCCTGGGTTCAAGCAGTTCTCCTGCCTCAGCCTCCCAAGTAGCTGGGACTACAGGTGCACACCACCATGCCTGGCTAATTTTTCTATTTTTAGTAGAGACAGGGTTTCACCACGTTGGCCAGGCTGGTCTCGAACTCCTGACCTCAAATGATTTACCTCAGCCTCCCAAAGTGCTGGGATTACAGGTGTGAGCCACCACACCTGGCCAAGCATGAGACTTGCCAGACTTGGGATTTAAGCGCTCTTCCTTTTGCCTTAAATATATATATATATAAATATATATATACACACACACATACGTACACACATATACAAGTTTATATATATAAATAAGCTCTCAAAGGGAGTGTGTGTATGTGTATGTGTATATTTGTATACATATAAATCTGCCAACCGTGATCCACAAATGCTGGACAAAATCCAGAACTAGAACTTTTGCCCAGGAGACTCCCTTTTTGGCCACCTTGCAACAAAATGTAAAGAAACAATAAACCTAAGAGGTGCTTTAAGAACTTTATTTTGGGAGTTGCTCAGTTTTGGAAATACTTGTTAATTTATCTCTAAGACTCAGAGGGCCTTATTTTGCAGATAAGGAAAATACTGTGTTTGATTTTAATACTAGATGATGATGGAACCAAGCTTCAACAAAGCTCAGTCATATCAGATTAAAGCAATCAAAGGCCAGCTAAAAAAAGTCAAGTTTTTACATTTCTGACTTTTAGGTGGCATTAAGGAAAAATTGATTGTAATTTTTAAATGTCATCTATTTAAGCCAAATCCCCTTACAGGAGCCAACAATTGTTTGTAGATTTTGTAAAAAATAAATAAATAAATAAATAGACCACGTTATTCCAGTTGTGCTGACCTGAAAAATAACTCGTAGTCTTCCATTCACGCAGATAAGAACAAGGCTCCTGTTAACAGAAATATAGGCCAAGCAGAGCAAAACAGAAAAAGCGAAAAAGCAGCAACCTGTGTCCCCTGCCACCCCCACTGGCAAGACAAGCTCAACAGTGACTTAAGAATCTTTAAATGTTAAAAACTGTGTGAGCATCTGCTCTTTATTTCCATCAAGGTCAGAACTAAAGAAAATGCTGTAAATTACAGCAGGAATGATTCGGTTATATATAAAATAAATCATTGTGAGGGTTGAGACAAGGATTTGATTGCCCAAGGGATTAAATAAGGGACTACCTATTGGCGGGGTATTTTGAGGATTATTCTCTCTGGCATGGCTTTGATGAAAGCTCACTCTCCTTTCCAGCGTCTGTTAATTTGATTTGATGATAAGAATCACCTGTTGTCTACTGTCAATTGCAGCTGAATGTGGCTACATTTTCTGCTGGGTAAAACAATGAGTGTTTACTGTTGACAAGGAGACAGCTAAGTGATGCCTCAAGATGTATTACTGTTAATCAAAAAAAAAGGTCCAGCCAAGAAGATTGCTTAAGCCGAGGAGTTTGAGGTTGCAGTAAGCTGTGACCGCACCACTCCACTCCAATCTGGGTGGCAAAGTGAGACCCTGTCTCTTAAAAAAAAAAAAAAAAAAAAAAGGTTTATGTGTTTGTTAGGGTCATTTGCCAAAAACGTTTGTTGTTTTAAGCATTGTCATAGAAGTCTGGCTTCAAAGGTTGCTATATGGTAGGAGAAGGTAATTGTGGAGCGTGGGATATTGATCATACTGATGGGAGATTTGGAGTGGGGTTTCAGGGCACTGCTCCAGTGAGATTCAGTTTGTGAAATGTACTTGGCATTGCCAGCATTTCCATCAACTCACAGTTGCCCTGAGAACAGATCCAGCCTAGGAGAGTTATTTAAAGGACAGGGCAAGGCAGAATAGCTGGGGGCTTAAAAAGTTCACCTCTTAGCTCCCCTGTTTGCCTAATTTCTCTGCCTTTCTTTATTTACAACTTAGTAGAAAGAGTGGTTTCTAAGTCTTGGTGTGCCTGAAGCATGCCTTGGGTGCTATTAAAAGGCAAGTTTCTGGGTTCATCTCGATAACTGGATCTGTGGGTAAGGTAAGGACATTTTGGTCACACCGCCTTTCTTGGACCTCTCTTTTTGGAGTCCTATCTTACTCCTTTTTGTATCTGATTCTCAGACCAACTTTGTTAGGTCAACACCTTCCATTATTACTATTATGAATATGAAGATAAGGAGGGTAGCTGTGGTAGGCAGCCTCTAAGATGGCCTGATGATATCTGCCTCCAGATATTCAGGCCCTTATGCAGTCCTCCTCCTTGAGTATGAATTGGACCTAGTACCTCACTTCTCGTGATTAGAATATGGTAAAGGTGATGGAATGTCACCTCTGAGACCAGGTTACAGAGGCTGCAGCTCCCATTCCTGCGATCTCAGGCTTTCTGCCTTCTGCATCGCTGGCTGCCTTGTTGGGAGCACTCTCAGGCAGCCCGTAGAGAATCCCCATCACAAGGAACTGAGGCACCATGGAATCCGCTTAGAAGTGTATTCTCCAGCTCTGGTTGGGCCCAGCTTGACTGCAACTACCTGAGAGATCTGGAGCCACGAGCACCCAGCTAAACCCTTCCAGAACTCCTGGCCCACAGAAAGTGTCAGATAAACGTTTTAAGTCATTAGGTCTCAGAATAATTTGTTTCCAACAATAGATAACTAAGTCTGTGACAAAAGCAGGAGGAGCCGCAGATTAAAAAGGAACTTGGCCACTTTGGCCACCCTTCTGCCTGGGGCTGGAATTTGATGCCCTTTCTCAAAAATAGGCTCAAGATTAAAATGGACACTAGGTGTGTCTTTTCTTTTGTCTTTAAATCATTTCAGTTTTCCACTCCATCACTGCCTCAAGTGTCTGGTAATAACTGCAGCCACCTTTTGTAACTACTGCAGATCCCCCCATTGCTCCTCTGTGGAGCCCCTCAGGCCAGCAGCGCCCGCACTTCCTGCCCACCGAGGGTCAGTGAGCAGCATGGCTTCCGGCCTAGTGCCAGCCACGCCCGTGCGCCTTGTGGCCGAGCGCTTCTTCACATCACAAGCTGGCTCGATGTCTTGGGTGTGATGTCTGCGAGCTTGTTATGAACTTTGAGCTCACAGAAAACAGTGTTCTAGGAAATACTGTTTTGAGATG